ATGAAGTCCCAGAAGTGAATTTTAACTAATGGTGATTGGTGGAATGAGTAGCTGATAACACTCTCAGTGACCACTATTTGATAGTACACTAATTGATCACTCAATAGACCAGTAACTGAACATCCAATGTTACACTGGTTGATTGGCCAAGAACAGACTGGATTACTTTCTGAAAGCAAATTAGCAGTTTGCTCAAGAACACATTGGCTGTCTTCCACATAGTGCGGACAGCATGTCCGATGCAGTTTAAGGACTGGGCTTCATTGGCATCAGGTTGGCAGGATGTGACTGGTACAAGAATGTCCATGGGGCAGTTCACTGCATTGTGCTGGCGAAAGGAATTGTTAAGTGTAGCAAGTCAGGTTAGTTTAGAACAGCACAGAATCAAGTAAAAAAGCTGAAAGGAAACATAAGTATAAAGTACTTTTGTTCACGCGATTAAAAATGACAATATATTCAAATACACTTTTGCCTGTTAATACATTTCTCTTAACATAACAATATATATTAATTAACAATAAATATTAATCACTTGGAGGCAGAAAGCCTATGTACACTAGCCAAATTTGGAGGTGACACAAAAATTACAGGAAAGAAAGGTTATGAGAGGGATACAAACAGTTTACAGTTTAATTAAGTGAGCAAAAAGTTGGCAAATGGAATATAAGGTGGGAAAATGTTCATTTTGGAAGGGTGAACAGAATATTATCTAAATGGAGAAAAAGTGCAGAATACTGCAACCCTGGACTTGGGAGTACTTGTACATGGAACACAGTAAGCTCGCACACAGGTGGAACGTTGGCCCTTATTTCAAGAGTATAAGGGCAAGCAAGCCTTACTGCAACTGTACAAGGTGCTGGGGAGATCACATCCAGAGTGCTATGAACAGTTTTGGTCCCCTGTTTAAGGAAAGATGTCATTTCATTGGAAGCAGTTCAGTGAATGTTCACTAGGATGATCCCTGTTACGTAGGGATTGTCCTATGAGCAAAAGCAAAACAAGTTGAGTTTCTACTCACTGGAGTTTAGAACAATGACAGGTGATCTCATTAAAACATAAGATTCTTAAAGGGCTTGACAAGGTAAGTACTGAGAGGATGTTTCTCCTCTTGGGAGAGTCATGCACCAGAGGGCATAGTCTCAGAATAAAAGGGAGCCAATTTAAGACTGAGATGAGGAGGGATTTCTTCTCTGAGGGTTGAAAGTCTTTGGAACTAGATTTTTGATTAGATAGATAGATTCTTGATCAGTCAGTGAATCAAGAGTTACAGGGAAAGGGCAAGGAAGTGGACATGAGGAACATCGGATCAGCCATGATCCTTTTGAATGGCAGAGCAGGTCTGAGGGCTGAACAGCCTTCTGCTATTTCATATGATCTTATGCAGATGGGTGCCAACCAAGTGCGTTAGCAGAGTAGATGCCATGCAGGGTTCGGGGTAGGTGAATGTGAGTGAGGGAAGATGATGCTTGCAGTAATGAGAGAAGGAGAACTTGAGCCTTTCTGGGAGCGGAATGCAGAAACAGAAATAGTGTGTGAGCTGGCAGTGAGAAGATGGTGGTATTTACCCTGGCCAAGCTGAGAAGGTCAATACTGGACATTCCTCCAGATGGCTGATCCCACACTGACCCAGGTGATAACCTCAGACCAGGCTGGCAGCTCTGATGGTATGGCCTCCGCTCTCTCTCTACTCTGGACCATTCCAAACATCAGAACCTCGAAGAACTTGTCCACAAAGCAGGATGCCAATTTCCCTTATCCGCCAAATCTAGAGCAAATGTTATGAACCGTATTGGGCAACTCTAGACTGACAGTGCTTGTTCAATTATACAATGGCCTTTTAAACATGATGAGGGGGTCAGGGACACCAGTCTATTCTGGGATATCTTGGCCATGGTGAGTTCTTTTGGATACAGTGAGCAGTAAATTCAGGCTTGAGAGGTGTTAAGGTATAGAATAGGTAGCAGTTAGTGATGCAGGTTTGGGACAACGAAGCAAGAAAACCCGCCAGGCCTCATGGAAAGAAACCCTCCAAGAAACTCAAAAAACTGGCACTTATCCAAAAGAATATCCATAAAATAAAGCCTGAAATGGGGAGGCAATGGCCTAGTGGTATTATCACTGGACTGTTAATCCAGAGACCCAGATAGCATTCTGGGGACCCAGGTTCGAATCCCACCACGGCAGATGGTGGAATTTGAATTCAATAAAATATCTGGAATTCAGAATATAATGATGACCATGAAACCATTGCTGTTGTCGGAAAAACCCATCTGGTTCACTAATGTCCTTTAGGGAAGGAAACTGCCATCCTTACCTGGTCTGGCCTACATGTGACTGTAGACCCACAGCAATGTGGTTGACTCTAAACTGCCCCTGGGCAATTAGGGATGGGCAATAAATGCTGCCTGGTCAGTGACGCCCTCATCCCGTGAATGAATAAAGAAAAAAAAAACTTCATGGGAGATTATTTAAAAAAGGCTAGTATATGAATTAAATATAGCTAAAAAGCGACATAGGGCAGAGTTTTCCCATTTTCAGTTAAAGTGCTTTGTGGAGTTAGATACATGGCATTCAGTCTGCATTGGCTCAGAGTGACTTTTCTCAATCAATCTTCTACTCTTTATCTCAGGCATTGATACTGGTGTAGCATGGTGCTGGACCCTGGCAATTCCATCCCCTTGACTGCTCAGTGCTTCCCACTGTGACAAGGTGGTTGCCTGTGCTAAAACAAAATGCAAGAACAGAAGTTTCTGAAGAAGGGTCTAGGCCCGAAACGTCAGCCTTCCTGCTCGGCCTGCTGTGTTCATCCAGCTCTACACCTTGTTATCTCAGATTCTCCAGCATCTGCAGTTCTTACTATCTCAAGAACAGAAGTTATCAGCTTCTAACTGAGCACTGAAGACCCTGTGGGCTAAGAAGCAGTGTTAGTGCTGAAGGCAGTGAATGTGCATTAAGAAAGCAATATGAAGCATACAGAGGCTGGCAATCTCCAAATAAATGACAAATTAGCGAACACTCCTGGCATGTTCGTCCCCTAACTGCTCAGTGCTTCCCACGGTGACAAGCTGGTTGCTTGTGCTAAAAAAAATGCAACAAGTTATCAGCTTCTAACTGAAATGTCAAGGAAGATGGTGGCAATGCAGCCTGCAAGAATATTATTGAGAAAAAGGTTGGGTGGTGGCTGGAACAAGCGTTTGACAAGCCGCAGCTATCAGATGTCCATTGCGATTTGCATGTCAGGAATTTGAGCCATTTGCTTTCGTAAAAGAAGACAGTTCAAACTTGCATATAAGTAAGGCCAGGAAGTAACCATTCAATGCAAGAATCTGAAGTTACCATTTAAGGCTTGAAGTTAAAATTGCAAAAATGTTTTTCAGTATCGAGATCTTGATTTTATCATTCTTTCTATATTTATCATTGCTGTTGCCATACACCAGGGAAGCGAAAGCTTGTACTCACCAGGACTTAAAACATAGAAAACCAATACCAGAGAGGAAGCAATGAAAATTGTTTTCCTTCTATAGTTGGTTTTCTTACACTTCAGTCCTGATGAGTGCAACACAAAAAGCTTCAAGTTATGCACTTTTTAACAATATTTAAGCATTACAAAGCAAAGTAGGACACTGAGCCACATCTGAAAACGGGGAGCCAAGGTAGGGAAGCAGAGAGGACTAGGGAAGATATTCCAGAAGATATTCCTAGACAACTGAAGGCACAGCCACCACCGGTAATTAAAGTGAGGTATGCAATGGAAGTGAGAATTACAGGAGCAAAGATACCTCAGAGGGTTGTGGGGCTGGAAAAGATGACAGAGATGGTACATGGAAGGATTTGGAAACAAGACCGAGAATTTTAAAATCAAAGCATTGCTTCACGAAGAAGTAATGTAGACCAGCAAGCACAGGGCTGTTAGAAAAACAGGGCTTGCTGCAAATTACGACGCAAAGTTTTGGATCACAGTCAGTAGTTTAACGAGATTTGACCCACTATAAACCCAAATGTTTTTCTAAATCCACCATAAATCTGAATGCAGTTCCTTATCTAATCCACACAAACTTGAGAGTAGTTCATTATCCTAAACACAGTTTCTTGTAAATGAGAGACAACAAGGTGCAGGGCTGGATGAACACAGCAGGCCAAGCAGCATCATAGGAGCAGAGAGGCTGACGTTTCGGGCCTAGACCCTTCATCAGAAAAGGGGGAGGGGAAGGGGGTTCCGAAATAAATAGGGAGAGAGTGGGAGGCGGATAGAAGAGGTGGGGATGAAGCCAGTAAAGGTGAGTGTAGGTAGGGAGTTAGGAAGGGGATAGGTCAGTCCAGGGAGGCAGGGACGAGCTGGACTGGTTTTGGGATGCGGTAGGGGGAGGGGAGATTTTGAAACTTGTGAAATCCACATTGATACCATTGGGCTGCAGGGTTCCCAAGCGGAATATGAGTTGCTGTTCCTGCAACCTTCGGGTGGCATCGTTGTGGCACTGCAGGAGGCCCAGGATGGACATGTCGTCTGAGGAATGGGAGGGGAAGTTGAAATGGTTCGCGACTGGGAGGTGCAGTTGTTTATTGCGAACCGAGCGTAGGTGTACTTTTATTGCGAACCGAGCGT